ATTTTTGTGCTTGACTTGCTTTGGATAGGTCTTTTGTTTTGGAGGCTCACACTTGTGACTTCGATTTTTTGGTGTGGTTGAGGCTGAGGACAGCGGAACTCCATATTTTGTGTAGCTTTTATAGCTCCCTTTGTACTTTTGTATTAATGTAACATACACACCCTTCATGGAATAAAAACAAGTGTATGAATAGTTTGGTCGACCACAACATTCCTCTATGTCCGCTAAATACTAAAAAAGTCATTATCGCCATAATATAATTTTGTTTGATCTGTGCCAGGATAACACCATACCATTTGAAAACCGCCCGGGATAGTTCGCAGGTGGAGTATGCTGCCATTCTTTTCTTGCGATCTATTATGCAGGAGTGGATGTTTGAAACTAAAAGTATCATTATAGAAGGTGATAATACAATTGTCATCAACCGTCTTTTGTGATGGCATGTATGGTAAAGTGGGGCAGCTACAACCTGACCGTGACACAAATCTTGCTTTTCTTACTGATTTCAGACAGATTTTTTTCTCCTTTTCCATAGAGAATGTAATAAAGCAACCCATTTTTGTGCTTGACTTGTTTTGGATAGGTCTTTTGTTTTGGAGGCTCACTCTTGTGACTTCGATTTTTGAGTGTGGTTGAGGCTGAGGCCAGCCACACTCCATTTTTTGTGTAGCTTTTATAGCTCTCTTTTGTACTTTTGTTTTATATTAATACAACATACACACCTTATATGGAAGGAAAACATGTGGATGAATTGTTTGGTCGACCACAAGATTCCTCTCCGTCCGCTAAATACTACATAAGTCATTATCGCCATAATATAATTTGGTTTGATCTGTGCCGGGATAACACCACACCATTTGAAAATCACCCTAAATTCTCGGCACAAGGGCAACCACAATCCATATCATAATTGTTCTCTGTAAATGACCAGATCGTTTCTGAATCGATCAATGGCCCTCTCATTTGGACGAGTGACCCTAAATCTGATGGTTGAGTCAAAGACAACAGCCTCATCTACAAAAAGCTACATCCGACAGGGATAAAATCGACTGCTCGATCGCAGCTACCAGACTGAAGGTTTGGGAGGTACGCTTCAAAACCATAAAAACTAGAGGAAATAAGCAAATGAAAGGAATAGCCGAAAGAAATAAAAAAAGCCGAGCGATAAAAGCTTAGCAAAAGACAAGCATGCAAATAAATACCTCAACCCCTATTTATATGGAGAAAACGTAAGATGAAACATCTCGTGAAAATTTCAAGAGAAAACATCACGTCAACATAGAGATCGAGATAAAAAAGTAAAATGTTTTGTTTCGATAATCAAGTAATTACACTCAAACCTAGTCTGATGGAAGATACTTTACAAACTAGTCATCGGCTGCCTCGGCCGGGACTAGACCCTTCCTAACTAATCTCCTATACAACATTTGATTGTCGAGCTTGATTTGATTTGCTCGGTTGGCCTCATAATGCGCCCTCTGCACGAAGGAATCTTCCCGAAGCTCAAGTACTTCTCGACGAATATCAGCTGTTTTCCCTCACATCTCCTCCAGTCGGACCAACACCGCGCAGAGATCCTCCTCTCACCTAGCCAGAGCAACCTCCATATTGTCTAGGCGATCAAATAAGGATTTCAGGGACATTCGAAGTCCCTTAATTACTTCCTCGTTGATCTCCACATGATTAGCTAGGTGGTTAACCACGTTGTCCTCGCTGTTGGCCAACACTTGGAACTCAGAAGCCGTCACCACAGTTGGAGCCGACCCTCACCAACAAGGAGCAAACCCCCGATCTGAGCATCCTCATCTACAAGAAACAAAAATTAATAAGCAAAAAGAAAAAAAATCAGTAAAAAACAGAGATGAAAGCATTTACTACGCAAGATTCGCTCCACCTTGGCTCAAGTGCCCTGCATACATTCAACAATGAATTAAATATCTTCTCTTCGACCGACTGGTTATTTCCACATGTTTCTAGTACTCCAATCAGTGAGGAACACTTACAACCATTGTCTGACTTAGAACTTCAATGTTAGGTAGACTCTTCTTTGGAGCCTCCTGGATCGAATCCAACGACTCCACCTAGACTCGCTCAGACAACTTAGGCTTCTTAACGAGTTTCTTCTTCCACTTGCTCTCGGCTCATTTTTAGACCGGCGTTTTTTTACCCTGAGAGAGGCAAGCATCTTTGCGAGGTCGACGGGTTTGGGAACCAAATGAAATCCTTTCTCCATAAGGGCAAACAGAAGCCGAGCTGATTCAAGTAGAAACAAACTCAAGATACTGAGAACCGTCCACTTTGTCTAATATGCAAGGGTCATGGGCATGAAAATCTAGGGAATTCAATCATTGCATTAAATTATGACTATTTAGATTCGATTTATTGCATTAAAAATTTTCCCTTTCTTAGCGCAGCTGTCGCCATCAACGAGCAAGAAAAATGCGAACTTTATATGTACACCAAAAAATAATTTGCATTAACCTTGAGACAATTTGACTGTCCATATCACTGACAAAAAACTACAGTCTCATGAATCCGACCAATTAAAGGCCATTCCAGGCGACTGAAGGCCATTCCAGGCGATCTGATGGCCGATCCGACCAATCAAAATCCACTAGTTCAACCAAATGACTGACGATCGATCAAAAGACTATCGATTTATTGAAGGCTTGACGACCACAGTCTCATGAATCCGACTAATTAAAGGCCATTCCAGGCGACTGAAGGCCATTCCAGGCAATCTGATGGCCAATCCGACCAATCAAAATCCATTAGTTCAACCAAATGACTGACGATCGATCAAAGGACTATCGATTGATTGAAGGCTTGACGGCCAAAGGGCTAACCAGGCCATCAAAAGACGGCATCTACGCCAACAACCGGTCAAAGGTCTAACACCCCCAAGAATCACGTGAGGCTCTCTCAACAACTCCCCCCCAAGATCTCTAGAGATCACCAAAGAAAAACAATCAGGCTAGCCGACCAGACGCTCTTTAGGCCGACCAACTGCCATACTCATTACCGACCGGTTTCCCAGAGCATAGGCCGACCGGTGTCCAGACATAAAGCCGACCGATTTTCCTGAGCGAAGGCCGGCCAATGTCCATACGAAAAGTGTCTAAAATAGGGGTAATATATGTTATTTTACATATCTTATCACTCTATCTTCTATAAATAGGGGGATCATAGCATGCATTAGAGCCATTTGCCTCTTTAGGCTCTTCTTTCTAGGCCCACTTTCTAGGCACATCCTTGTTTCTTGTTCTGTTTTTGCAAATTTTACTAATGAAAAATTATTCCATTTTTCACATTTGAACTATTATCTCTCATCTTTTCAAACAAGTCAAACTGCTTGCCTTGCAGCTTGGCATTTTAAGGTAATGTGCTCATCTTGGCTTGGCTTAATAATGACATCGGCGTGGAATGTGTGCATGGGATAGCTATGGTGACTGCTCGGCTCACCTTTAACATTGAAGTCTGTTTGTGTCCTCCTTCAGGCCCTTCACTCCCCTTTATTATCTTATTTGGGAAGATGATAAATTATTGCCCGAGCAAAGAATAATTACCAAATTAAGAGTTATAACCTGCTAGTTTGAATTGTTGCGTGATGTGTACAGCTCAATGTGGATTTGCATTTGCAAAATGTAGACCATATGAAGTCCTTGATTAAAATAATTTTGACAACTTAATTAAAGGAGGCGTAAGGCCTATTACAGAGATAGACCATATGAAGTCCTTGATTAAAATAATTTTGAGAACTTAATTAAAGGAGGCGTAAGGCCTATTACAGAAGGCAGGAAAGGAGGCATCCTTTGGGACAAGAGATAAGATTTAGAAGTAGAGTTATGATTCACCAGACCGATGCACGGTTTATAAAATCTAGAATTCAAGATTACATCATAATATCTTAATATTTGGATGTAGGATATGAGAAATAAAAAAAATTGATGTTATTTAAATAAAATCAATTAAGAATGTAATTTAAATAAAATCAATTAAGATGGAAAGTTTCAATTATTATGAGGTTTAAAATTTTATTCTAAAATGGAGCAATTTTTTGGTTGAAGGCAATCATAGAAATAACCTTGGTTAAGATTATGTTAGATGCGAGGTTAGGGAAGTTGTGAGAGGAGGTGATAGATGGAAAATAGGCTATAACTTATGTACCATATGCTTTTAGATTGCTACATTTACTAATGTTAAGATTTTGACATAAAGAAATTGTTTCTGGTTACAATTTAACACAAAGTGCATCATATGGATCTAGATCAACTTGCTTTATATTTGGTTTGAGTTTAATGAAGTAAAGTCATTTTATTTCATAGTTCATTTCTTTCACAAATTTGCCGCCGTAAAGTACAAGTTGTCTTATTAATTACATTTATTTTATAGGGATTTACTTTAATTTCATTACAAAAATCATTAGGACAATCACTAAGGACTTGTTTAGCTGGATTTTTTTAAAATATATGTATTTTAAAAAAGCAGAGTAATTGAAACACAGTTTTTTAATTGGATGCAAATCAAATTTATTGTTTTTTTAATTACTTTTAAAATATATTAAATTTTAACAAGGACGGCTTATGGTAATGGTGGCGGGCTACTGTTGGGGAGGTTTGACTATTGCTAGTTGGGAAGCGTAGAATTGCAAGGGATTAGAGTGCAGTCTGAGGTGATTTGGATCCTAGCTCATTTAACATATGGACCTTTGACATTTAAGCAAATTTCATTTTGACTATTAAAGATGGAGTGGAGGCAACGGGAAATCTACAAGCCTACTATGTGTGGATGAATATAGTAGGTTTATTTATTCTCCTGTACTCTTGATACATTTCATTGCAGAATGAAACGTGGTTATGAACCTGTGCATTTTATTGCAGAGTAAAACAATAGTTTGAACATCATCAACATTGAAATGCATTAGTTGTTTTATGAGAATATACTTATGGACCAGAACTTATGATGAATACTATTTGTGCTAACCTTTATCTATATTTTAGGAAAGTGAAAGTGAAGACGATGGTCTTGATGATGGTGATGATGACATTGAGGATGAAGGTGAGCAGGAGCCTGAGGCTCCTCTCCCGGCTGAGCCAATCGTAAAGGAACCTCCCCCCGCCCCCGTGGCACCTAAAGATACTGAAAGGCAGCTTTCTAAAAAGGAGCAGAAAAAAAAAGAGCTTGAAGAACTTGATGCCCTTTTAGCTGAATTTGCAGTGTCCAGTAAGGATGACAAAGGTGCTGGTCAAAATGAAAATAATGGTATATGTGTTTTTAAATTTGACGCCTTTTGGTCTACTAGTCAACTCTCTGCTCCACTAAATCGGGTTTCATTTTATTCAGCATATTGCCTGCTTTTTTCCTGTTGATTTTTTGTTCTTCTGTAGATGCGACCGAAGTGAGGAAGCCAGACGAGCAAGCAAAGGATGGAGATAACGAGCAGACCATCGCTGCAGCAGAGAGCAAGACTTCAAAGAAAAAGAAGGGAAAGAAAGAAAAATCGTCTAAAGAGGTTAAGGATTCAACTGAACCAGCTGATGATGCTGATGGCTCCGACGGAGCGACAGTTGCTGAAGCTGTGGAAGATACTGCTGCTGGAGTAGATATTAAAGAGAGGCTGAAGAAGGTAGTTTCGACGAAGAAGAAAAAATCAGGCAAAGAAATGGATACTGCATCCAAAATTGCCTCAACTGAGGCTGCTGCAAGGAGTGCGAAACTCGCTGCCGCGAGGAAGAAAGAGAAGAACCATTACAACCAGCAGCCAGTCCGGTGAACCGCCGCTTTTTTCCACCGGGTATTTGTCGAGTTCAGTTTTTTTCAACCGAGTATTTGTAATGTTCAGTTTTTTTTTTTGTTGAAACTAGAATAAACAGCTCAAGGTTGTTCACTTCTGTGGTTTAATTTGGACGGATCTGAGGCGCGTCAGTCATCACCAGAACATATATTTCCTTGAACGATGTTGGTTGTCGTTAGGGTCTCAATCACTCTGTGGATATTTATTTGAGTACAAATCCTTTGAAATTAAATTAGTTTATCAGACTGTAATCTTTTAACATGTTAAATGTCGTTTACCGTTTTAACGTCGCATTTCGTTTCTTCCAAATTTTTCGTTGGATTTACGAAAATCATTACTGATGAGCGGTTTCGATGCATACATACATTGAAGCACATCTTAATTTTTAGTTTGTTGTTATGTTTAAATTTCAGCAGAATGGACCAAAAAGGTGGCTTTTGGAACAATCTTTTTTGCTTAATGGTGAATCGATAGTTTCCCATATTTATACTTTGGAACAATTAAAATGAAATATCAAGTCTATTAGAATGTGGAATAAAATTATAGCTACAAACGCCCAGGGGGCATTTACATGTATATCTTCCAATTCCTATGTATTTACGTAGTTAACACAAATTTTATTTTTTAGGCTTGTACCAATCAAATAATATCATATCGAACTATAACCATTTTAATTTTGGTTATAAAATAGTTTGTATGTAGCAAGGCGAAATGAGTAGAATAACTTGAGTTTGGGACTCGAGTGATTTAAGTTTAGTGTCAAGCTAAATGGCAATCAGACCACACTCCTCAAGAGATCTAAGGCCCCCAAGTATGTAAATCGTTTGTACTTGGCAAAGATACTATTATCGGCTAACTTGAATTCTCACAACAATAATAATACTAAATAAAATAGTATTTATATGTAATGCTTGATTTATTCAGATGCAAGCATCAAGCCCTCACTTAATCCTCAGGAATATTTTATAGTTTAGCATTAAAAATCAATAATTTTCTTTTTTGTGATGAATGTTCTCAAGCCCATTCCCTAAATAGGCCAAGATTAACTACTTAAACAGCAAGATAAAAGAAGAGAGATTTAGAGAATAATTTATAAGTTATATTTATCTTATGAGCCGACTCACCTTTTATGCCTATGAGCTCACTCTCCCCATCTTTTATGCCTATGAGCTCACTCTCCTCACTTAAGAGACTACTCACTCTCTATGTATAAGAGCTTATTTTTTTAATCTAACTTTTATTTGATCTATCAACCGAAGAGCCTATTAAATCTCTCTTTCTAAGAGCTTACTCATTCATATTGCTTTGCTTCTCTGCTTACCATCCAAATTGAGCTCAATAACTCTCAGATGTAATAGAAAGACAAACAATATAAATGGGCATGCTAAAATTTTACTTTCACTTAAATTACTTAATTAACAATCCATGTGGATTCAATAAGGTAAAATAAAGAAGAAAAAAAAAGAAAATAAAATCTCTAAGTGTATTCACACATACCTCATTAGAATTACCCTCGAAAGAAACATTTTTATTAATTAGTAAAAAAGTACTTTATCTTGATAACTAGTAGCAAGTTCATTCGAAGAAACTGACTTTTAAAAAAAAAAAGCCTATATGAATGATATACTTTGCAGTGAGTACATTATTGGCATCATTTTATGCGAATGACTTGTGAACTGCATGTTTAATAGTTTGGACAATAATTTATTTTTATCTTAAAATTTTAAGTAATTTAAAAAATATTTTGTACAAAATTTAGTAGGTGAAGGATAACAGTAAATGTATGAAAATAAAAACTAACCTATGGAGGCTTTCGAAGTATGAAACTGGGCTCTAGCATACTGCAGATACTAACTTTAAAAGTATATACAGGCTTTAAAACATTAAATGAAACATAATATATTTTAAAGGATTTACAGAAAATTAAAAATAGAAACAAAAACTGAAATTACTAAAAATACAGAAAAATTAAAAATCTACAGATGTAGGTCCACAACATAGAATGAAAGTTTTCACTACATCAGTTTTAAAAGACAACAAATAACAACCAATTAAAATAACAAACAAACACCAAACAAACTAACTCCTAAGATATCAATCATCTCCGCCTTCCTCATCATCATCTTCCTCTTCTTCTTCTTCTTCTTCCTCATCATCATCATGGTTGAATATAGTTCTGTAAAATTTATAAAGTTGACTCCGCTTCTCCGCATTACAACGGTGCCAAAAACTTGATGTGGTATTTTAGTAATAATAACATTAAGTACTTAAGATTGAGATTCTACGTAAATATATGTATCGTTATAAAGTAATATAAAACTTTCTATTTAAGTCCCAAATATTGATCCCATGAGGAAGGTTTAAATTTGAAATGATAAATTAACTAGGAAATTCACAGAAATCAAACGAAATTACTGCCACTAATTTTGAATGTGTAAGATACTAACAAAACTAAAATATTAACTACTAGCAAAACTTTGCAGAGTTTAAAAATAGTAACTTCTAAACTATATTTATGTGATGAAGTTTTCTTATATGAAAAAGTTTCTTTCTCACTACAATGAGATTTTTGGTGAAATGAGATGAGATAAATGATTTAAATTTATATTGTGCCAAATGGGAGCAATTTTAATTCTCTACCCTGATTCAGTGTTATAGAAAATCACTAGCTAATCTTAGGTTTAGTCCCTAAATCCTGGCTATGCTAGGAGGATACTGGCTCTCACTCTAGAGCTCCCACTTCCCTTCCCCTGAAGGCTAACTCTCGCTTTAGTTTTTAAAAACTAAGATCAAATTGGAGATTTTTAGTCTGTCACCCTAGAAATCTCCAATTTTACACCCAACAAAGTATATTTCCCTATTAATTTGCACTTAATTCCATAAAAGAAATACCCCTTCATGGACTTAAATGTGATTCTCACTCTTTTGTATATCTCATACTCCATTTCTCGGATCATATGTTTCACAACATATTTTAACAATTCAATTGGTCAGATCAAAAAGTAAATTAAGAGAGGAGTTGAAAAAACATCACAATTTATTTTAAATTTTAATATTGGCACATCCAAATTATCTCTTCATTTCACCATATCTCATAGTAGGAAGAAACATAAGGGAAACTACTCAGACTTCATGAGAGTGATACAAAAAAACAAAAATTTCATATATAAAAGAAAGTTCATACAACAATAATAAACAAACAACACTTATCTGAAACTCTTTCTCAAAGCAAATCCCTTGTAGTCTCTCTTAAAAAATGTAGGAAGAAGAAATCTCTCACTCCTCTTCCTCTTCAACACTTCTTAGAGAAAAATTCACACTTGAACTCACCACAAAAACTCAAAACTATAAAAACAATAACTAACTAATAGCGTGGAATGGCATGGGATGTAGGAGTTCAAAGAGGAAAACTGAGTGAGTGGAAGAATGTGAAATAGTGCGAAGAGAGGGGGGTGGTCTGATCAAATTTCGACCCTAAATAGAGCATAGGGTAGGTTCTCCAATAGGTGCTTCCAAAAACTCTTCAAAAATCGTCCAAATTCATCAAATCTTTTAGAAATGGGATCTGCACCGACACTGGCACCGTCGACACTGAACAATTTTTTAAATTCTCCATTTTGACTCCAAATTTCATTTTTTTCTTCCTTTTTGCTCCAAGTCCTAAAAATCAACAACCTGCAATAAAACATAAAAAATACCTTCCATTAAAGTGCAATATCACCAAAATTAAGTAGAAAATATGGGTCTAAAAACACATATATTTATGGTGTATCAAAATCTCCTAAACTTAAATGTTACTTATCCTCAAGTAACTCCTTTACTACATAAAAATATGACTCATGGTAAAGATTTTGACTTCTAGATTTTCATATCTTAGCTCACTAAATATAATAGTATGACTTAAGAAAAATTTAAAATAAATGCAGTTAATACTAAAGGTATAAGAATATCTAGTAGTCAAGTCTAAGACTTTTGATTCTCTATTCTATTCAAGGAAAATTTCAAATTAATCATATTAAAGCCACTTATAATATCCATATAAAAAAGAACTTCATGAAACTTTGCTATTAAATATGCTAATACTGAAATATAAGTTTAGAAAATGAAGCCAAGTTTTCTTCTTTAAGTTGATTCAAGTGAA